ATTGATTCTTAAGTAAACTAGTATCATATTATCCTTCCTACTTTGGAATGCATGTTTTTCCCCAGTCTGAAAAAAAAAAAAAACCCAATAAATTGTTAACTTCGAAGACTCAGGGGATATACTGAGAAAGAACTATCACATGATATAGAAACTTACATGTGAGAATCCTGGATGAAAACAGCATTTGTTTTCCTGCCTTGAGGCTTTTAACCACCACCCCTGCCCCCCGCCCCCCACCTTGGCTCTGGCTCTCTGTGTTTGAAAGTCCTTGAAAGAAGGCAAAGTTAAATCCATCCATATCACAAGGCCCACAGTTTTTGATAACCCACTTATCAATTAAAAGAGCAGGCAAACCTGATTGAATAGTGGGAATTCGGTGTTCCCCCTCCCCTTTCTTCTTGGTCTTCTTGGTCACATAGAAGCAACGAAAAGGCAACTGACACTGTGCTGAGAGAGAAGCAAGAAGAGTTCTCAGCGTAGGTGCTCAATAAAAACTCACTGGATTGAGAAAAACCATAGGTACTTTGAAGACTATATGATTTCTCTTTCAGTCAAGGAAAGTTATTGGAACAAAAGAACAGAAGTAATAAAATCTTTCATTATGATAGAATCTAGTTTTCATGCAGAAACTCATATAAAATATAGCATTTGCAGATAAACTTTAACTCTCCAGTGACTTTCAGAACTCCCCCAGACAAGCTCAAGTCCTGGCAGTGAACCCCTTCAGTGCACCCCAACTTGATTACCTTTTTTCCTTTCCTCTTGTTATTTCCAACTTCTATCCTTTCCAGGCAGAACCATCACCGTTTCTCCAATGTTGCCCCTTAAAGCAGAACCTACTTGAACTAATTTACAGTCTGTTTACCTGCCAGGCTGTTTTCTTCCTTTCTCTCCACAAAGTCTTTCTTGATCCATGAAAAGGAACCGGGACTCCTTGGTACCTTATCCAGGATAATTCAGACTGAGAGCTACTTACAGAAGACATAAAAGACTCCCCCATGATTGTACAATTGCCAATCCTGTCTCCATTGAATGGCCAAAAAAAAAAAAAAAAGATTCAGTAATTTCACCTAAGCTTAACTTTACTTGAGAAATTCCATATGGAAGCCCTAGAACGTTCCATAAAATCTCCAAAAGTCAAAACTGGAAAAGGGTCCAGAGTGCCACAGAGCCCGTGGGAGGGAGCAGGAGAGTGTAGTCAGGTGGGAGCAGGAGGACAGTCTGCAGGGAGCAGGGGCTTTTTGGGGTGGCCACACATGGTGGGGGGGGGGCTCCGAGGACAGTTGGGCAGCAGGGGAGAGGCCGTGCCACAGGGTGGTTAGGAACGTGTTCTGAGGAGCCAGGAATATAGATCCTGGCTCTGATACGTACTAGCTGAGGGAGCTTGGGTGAGTCACTGGAAGTCTCTGAGCCTCTGGGGCACCTGGGTGGCCCAGTGGATTAAGCAACTGACTCTTGACTTTGGCTCAGGTCATGATCTCAGGGTGGAGAGATTGAGCCGCAGGTCAGGCTCTGCTCAACGGGGAGTCTGCTTGAGATTCTCTCCTTCTCCCTCTGCCCCTCCCCACCCTCAAATAAATAAATCAATCTTTAAAAAAAAGTTTCTGAGCCTCATGGGGTATTCACATTATAAAACGTTATGTGGGCTTACTTTAAATGTCCTGGTATCAAGATTGAGTAGATACAAATCAAGAAACATGTTTAAAGAAATGCTTTACCTGTTAACTCTATCATTTTATTTGAAATCTTATAAATCCTAATTTGTAAAATCTTGAACTCTCTGGGAAAAGATATAACTCTGACTTCCTAAAGCATTCAGATTCCCTTAATGTTTATAGCATTGATGTACTTTGGGTGTGAGATAAATTTCACATTTTCACCTAACTCAACATTTTTTAAAACTGAACTCCATGTTTTTGATGATAGTGGCTTTTTAATTTTACTGTTTAACAAAATAAACTTTCATAAATTACCTGGAACATGTTTAGGTGGTAGAATTTTTAGGAGTAACAGGACTCCGTAGCACTTCTAGGAATCAATATTACTTTGAAATTTTTAGCTATTGCAATGAGACAAGAGAATAAAATCAGTAACATAAATACTAAGAAATAACAAAGTTATATTTATTTGTAAATGATATAACTGTAAAACCAAAATGTAAGGGTTTTTAAAATGATTAGATTAAGAGAATCTGATAAAGTGGCTGATATAAAAATTAATAACTTTCTACTAAGAATAACCATTTTTTTAAAAAGGTTTTATTTACTTATTTGACAGAAAGAGACACAGTGAGAGAGGGAACACAAGCAGGGGGAGTCAGAGAGGGAGAAGCAGGCTTCCCACGGAGCAGGGAGCCCGATGCGGGGCTCGATCCCAGGACCCTGGGATCATGACCTGAGCCGAAGGCAGACGCTTAACAACTGGGCCACCCAGGCGCCCTAAGAATAACCATTTTTGACGAAGATTTTATTTTTAAGTAATCTGTATACCCAGCATGAGGTTCAAACTCACAACCCTGAGATCAAGACTCACATACTCCACCAACTGAGCCAGCCAGGTGCCCCAAGGACAATCACTTTAAACAGAACTTTTAAAACTTTAAAACATTCACAATAATAACAAAACTATAAAATGCCTAGGAATAAATTTAACAAAAGTAGTAGAGGACGTAAGTAAAGAAAAGAATGAATTTTAGTAGTAGACATTTTTACAATGCCATTCATTAAATAAACCTTACCTTTTTTTCTGAACTGAAAAGTCAATTAATCATATGTTTATGACATCCTGTCATCATTTCTAATTAATACTGCATGGGGATTCTCAGCCAGTGAAGTAAAGGAAGAAAACAAAAAGGTATAAGTGTGAGAAAGGAAGGAATACAATTCTTATTATTTATAGACATAGAAGATCCAAAGTAGTCTTCAGATAAACTCTTAGAATGAATAAGTGAATTTAGCAAAGTTGCTATATGCATATGAATGTAAATGTAAACTTTATTTCTATATAGCAGGCAAAAATTATAAATGAAAGATTTGAAAAGCTATCATTTACTGTAGTATCAGGAAATTTACACAGAAATGCAAAGGACCTGGAATAGCCAAAACCATCCAAAAAAAGAACAAAGCTAATGGAATTACACTTCTAGTTGTCGAGTCTTATGAAAGAGCTGTAATAACAGTGTGGGATTGGAGTAAGTATAGATATAGACCGATGGAACAAAATACAGTCCAGAAAGAGATCCATGCATATTTGGCCCAATGGTTTATGTCAAAGGTGACTTTGCAGTGCAGTGAGGCAAGAACAGTCTTTTCAACAAATAGATCTGGGTCAATTGGGTATCCATACAGCTATATATTTCTGGTTGAAGTGTTAATTATCATAACCTATTTGGAAAGTAATCTGGCAAGAAATGTTAAAATGTAAAATGTAAACACCCTTTGACTAAACCAAACCATCTTGGGGAATCAGTAGAACAGAAATAGAAGCATCTATACCCAAGGATGTATATGAATAAACAAACATGTACAAAAACTAGAAACAACCTTTATGGTGATTGATTGAACAATAGGATGCGGCCATCCCATGCATTGTTATGTAGCCATTAAAAAGAATATGCTCGACAATGGTAATAATGTGTAGCCTTTACTGTGTGTTCATTGTGTGCTAGGCATCATTCTGAGTATTTTATATGTATAAACTCATTCCATCTTGTAACAACAATGCATTGTAATAATAATTGTAATAACAATATTATTTCTGTTTTATGGATGACCAAGTTAAAATTCAAACAGATCAAATATTTTACTCAAGCTCACATAGCTGGTATGTGGTGAGGTCTGAATTTGAACCAAAGTAGTCTTACTCCAGAACACACACGCTTAAACTCCATGTAGTTATTCTGCCTCCTTGAATTGATTAAAGAGGGATTTCTCTTACATACTGGTAATTGAAAAAGCAAATAATGGAAACCTAGTTATCCTATTTCAAAAAACAAAGGAAAGAAAAAAGGGAAAATAAAAAACCCACATGAATATACATTCGTCAGAGGATTTTAAAAGTCTTGGAAAGATACTCCTCAAACTGGTAATACTTATTACTTCAGGATTGAGTGAGAAAGGAGGACATTAAGAATTTTTTTCACCTCTTTATTATGTTAAGTTATAGAAAGCACTGGAATACTTTGGTCCTGTTTTAATCCAATGAAGTGAAGAAAAAGAAATAAAAACCAGCCTCCACTTTTAGGTTCACTGTGTTTTCTTAAGAATAAAAGATTCGTTTAACAATTTGACAAGAAATTAATAAAACTTGTCTTCTAATTTCTTACCAGAATTTAGGGCCACAAGCATCTAATCTGTTGTGGTCATTCTACATGACATTTGCTCATTTATCTTCCAAAGTATCTAGATCTGCGTAAAGTAGGTCCCCAGGAAACGTTAAAGTTCCTTCCTATTTATTATTCTCTCCTTCCTGCTTCTCTCTGAAATGACCAGTGCTGTGGTCATAAAGGCAGTCTTATTTTCCATCTTTCATTTTGTTCAGGTGACTGAGACTGGACTAGTTCTCAGCACGGTAACCCAGTGCCTCTTCCAGAGAGAGTGAGCGCCAAACATACTTGCTTCACTGTGGCAAGACTTAAGCTCAAAGACAGGGAGATTTGTCCACTGGGCAGCCTGTTATGGAGGAAAGCATTTTGTTAGGAATGGGGCCAAAGTCCTACCTTTAGAATCATATACAGTGATTATAGGGATGCAAGTAGTCCATATTTCTAAAATATCTACTGTTTTATAGGCTAATCTATGAATCTTAATAGGGTCTAAAATGATTCGTGTGACATTTTAGCCATGCAGAGATATGAAACTTGGCATTTGGCCTTAGGCAAGAGTTAAATATCTTTCACATAAAACCATTATATGGAATTGGTATTTGAATGTTTGAGAACTTTCCTTCAGCCAACAGTTTGAAAACGATGCATTTCATGAACACTTTCTGCTTTTTCTCAGGTCCCATTTGATATCTCGCTGCCATCTATATTCCATCTTGAGAGACTTTTTGACCTTGCTAATGGTTGTATCATATCAGGAGGAAGCCTTTTCAACTGGATGGTGTCGATTATTCCCTAAACATTCTTTACATGTTAACTAACCTTATAAAGGATTTAACTGATGTTCTTTTTCTTGGTTTGAATACATTTTTGGAACTGTCTTCTTATAACAAGCAAAATAAAATGGTTTCTTACATAAGCTAAATTTCCTCAAAAATTGTAGTTTTGAGTGATGTCTTAAATTGTATCTGAATTAAATGACAATGCTGCCGCAGCTTATTAAAACCATCTCACAGAACTATTCCTAAAAGTATGAATAGTGTGCCCGGTGCAACTATTCCCATGTTTATACAGCTCACGTGTAGGTTGTCTCTAGATGCATCCACAGAACAAGATTGGATTAAAACAGTGGTTCTCAACTGGGAGCAGTTTTGTCCCCAGGGCACATGAGGCAATGTCGGAAGAACTTTGATTTCTGTAACTGGGAGGATGGCACTAGTGGCCTCCAGAAAGACACTATACTGCAGTGAAAGAGAAAGAGAAAAGAACAAAACACTTTCCACTGAATTCCGAAAAAGAAATTGCCTGATGACCATACCTCCATATGAAATAAAGTTTGGGTCTTGCAGAAAACCGTTAGGGTAGTGACGGCTCTTATGTGGTGAGGGCTTCCGAATCCTTTGACCAGAGACTGGAGTTTAGAAATTTCTCTTGTGGGAGAGAGGATGCTTTCAAGGGTTTTGTGTTTCTCACAGAGAAAGTTTAACTTACGGGACGTTTAGCCACCAGGGGCAAAAAAGCACAACAAATTACCTACACATTTAATAGGTGTGGAAATATAGCATCACTCATAACCAAGGCCATTCACTTCAACCTAATATTAATTTCCAAGGAGTGTATATGCATGCCTCCCACTAGTAAGTTTTTACTAACTGGGTGCTTTTCAGTTTTCTTTGTTTTAAATATTAGTGGATATAAAGTCATATACTGTTTTATAGAACCCTAGAATAATGCCTGGCACATAGTAGAGGACTATAACCCTTCTTGGATGGATGGATGGATGGGTGGATGGATGTGACCAGGTAAGATGGCACTATGGGGGTATAAAAGGAGGGGGAGGGAAGGTATCACCACCACCTCCACCATCACTGCCTAACCTTTCTGGAGCGTCTACCATGCTACACACTATATTATTATATACTTCATATGCATCGTCTCCTTTTGTCCTCACAAGAATTATGACCATGATGCACATAGAATGACTGACCCCATGTTACTGATAAGGAAACAAAAGCATAAGGCAATTAAACAATTTGCCTAATGATCACAGTTAGAGGTAGAACCAAGATTTAAGTTTGGTTCTGTCTGACTGGAGAACTTAAACTCTTCATTGCTACACGGGCTTCCCCTCTCTTGCACCCATCCCACTGCTCCGGGAAATTTGAAAGTCAAGGAAAAGGAGGACATAGCTGAGCCTCAAGCTAAAACTGGAACACCTATTGTCTGCTGTAGGAGCAGATTTTTTTAAATGACTTGCGGACCTGAGGGGATGCCCCCAAGAAAACATGGCGGCCGGAGTTGGGGGGGTGGGGTGGAGTCCCCATTGTCATCCATGCCAATATACTGGTTTCCTCTGGGGATGGCAGATCCCTTCCAACTATCACAGATAATATTTCAGCACATTTTTACTTTTTCTCCACTTTTAGTCACTTACAGCTGCTGTTATTCTTAGGCGTTGTTTTGACCAAGAGAAACACTGCCTAAAATTGCACCACACCCTACAGACACAGTTGCCCCATTTTAAGCCATAATTCCAGAAATTCCCCCATTTCTTCTAAAATAGGAACACTCATTGGTTAAAGCTGAAACTTTCTGTACAAGGCAGTGAGGAAATGGCGAGCAAAGGGGCTAAGTACAAACAAAAAATAAATTCAAACCTACCAGGATGAAAGATGTGTTTATTTCCAGAAATGTCGTTCAGGTTTTGTTTTTTTGTTTTTTTTTAAAGAACAAATGACACAATTTGCAGCTGCTTATTTTTTTCATGTAATATCCAGTGTCTGCAAATGCTTTACAGCAGACACCTGCAATGTTTTCTATTTTAATTATAACAGAGAATGACAGGACGCAAACGGAAAGAGGAAGAAGAAGGAAAGCAGAAAGAGAAGGGAGGGAAGCAGGCAGCGAGAGAATAGGAGCCAGGGCCAGCAGCTAAGTGATGGGTAATAAAACCGCAGAGCTCCCCATATCTTTCTCCATATCAATCTCCAAGAAATTGCTTTAGAAATTGACCACCTGCCAGCTATTCAGAGGCTTAAACGCAGTAGTCTCGGTTCACTTCATGTGTAGGTGTTTTACGCATTCCCCACCCCAGCTGACTTGTTCTCCTTCATTGAATTACAGGGGAAAATGGCACATTTTTGGACAGTACTAGAAACTTGGTTTCTGCCTCTAGTCTGCATTGCTCTTCCTTCTCCTTCTGCGCATTACATGAATCTTTCCATCCTAATTCAAATGGCACAGCGTCGAGCTCCCAGAACTCCTCGGGCACTGGCTTGTGCACTGCTCATTTGGCTCTTAATAGCGCCCTTCAGCGCAGAGGTTTGCATTGTTAACATTTTCACCATGCAGTCTTAGAACCTTAACTCAAAGGATGGCATAAGTGTGTGAGTCCACCCCACATTCCTTCGGCTTTCATTTAGCTTAAGACTGGATACTTCATTGTTTGCTAAGGTATCTTGGAAGGTGTCCATAAAGCCTGGAAACCTAGGTGAAATATATATAATGTCCTCAAGGCTATCTTCAATCTATGGAAACATAAATTTTAATAATTTAATATTATCTGTGTGTACACAGGATTGGACAAGCCCATAGCTGTTGATTAGGGGAGAAAACAGTAGACCAGGAAGCCCACTGTTGAAGCACCTTTTCTCATTTTCCCATGCTTGAAATGTTTGTGGTGTATCTCCCAAAGAAGCTTCGCTCACGTGCCCAAGGAAACTCATGCAAAACTGTTCACTGATGCATTGATTACAATAGCAAAAAACAAAACCCCCCCAAACACAAAGAAACAAACCTACCTAATATCTCTCAGGTGGAGAACAGATAAATAAATGACCGTGTCATCATGCAGTAGAATAGTACACAGAAGTTAGAAATGAATGTGTAACAGACTACTGCAGAATATTGTAAATGAATCAGAGACATATTTATCTGGATATGCTTCAAAAGTAGGTTGAGTAAAAGAGAAAAGTGAAGTGTTGCAGAAAACATATATGAAGACACCATTTATATAAAAGTTATTAAAACAGGGGAAATGACCTAATATAGAGTATTTATGGATGTGTAAGTATGTACTAAAAGCATTTTTCGATGCAGGTTCATGGGCAAGCCCAAGTTCAGGTTTGGAGTCACGGAGGAGAGGGAATGAGATCTAACAAGAAGGCCCAAGAAGTTTCATTTGTACTTTTTTCAGCCGGGGGTTTGTTACATTGGTCTCTACTTTTTGCATACGTGAGACAGTTCATAAGTTAAAAGCAAGTGCATCATTTACCTTCTTCATCCTGTTTGCCAGCTCGTTTTGTGTGGTCATTGGCTCACCTGTCGGTAAATAACTATTAAATGTGAGTTATGACGCTGGTCTTATTATATAGCTGTAGCTCACATCTGGTTCTGTTATTTGGGATTTTAGTGACAACTAAAAATCATTTTGAAACTAATGTCAAATTATAAATGTGCTCAATTTTGGGAAACTCCATCTATGAAAATATTAATTTTTAATATAAGATAGTAAAGCCTCAATAAATGTTTAATTAAATTGAGACAGATCCCCTGTGCAATGCCTGTCAATGGTAAGTTCCCTAGTTATACTTTAAATTATTTGATTTTCCAAAATTAGATATATGCAGAACTTTTTACGTGACTACTCGTTATGCAAAATGAGGTTCATTTGTAAAATCCATCTACAATCTATAATTTCAACGTTTTTAAAAATATATTAAGAAGTTTCTCTTTACTGAAGATTCGTTTCCTATTTTTGCTTTACACTTCAGGAGAGCTTTATGAGATGCAACTCTGACTCTAAAATTTCCATAGCAACAGATTTTTTTTTGGTCATAAATACAGGCATGATTAAGAGGAAGACTTTAGTGACAGCAGTTTTTTTCATAATTAAATTCATTAGTTAAAACGCTGGGTTAAAAGGCATAGAGATTTTATTACAACAAGGACATTTTCAACTGGAGCTTTGGAAACAACACAAAATTAATTGCTATTAAATTGCCTTTGGTCCTGTTTTATAGTTACGAAACATTTATACGTTTTGTATTTAATAACTTAGAATAAAACAGGTCTAAAAACCACATTCTGCTCGAGTGCAAATCAGCTTGAACCCTCCCTTAAAACTGTACACAATGTGAAAGAAAACTCAGCAGATTTCTAAATAACTTGAAGATTTTCTAAGAGTTTCACTACTGTCCTAATTCTCCCCCACAAGATTCACAAGAATAACTTGAACCGATTTCTCTTCTCATCATTGCAAAAACAATTCAGAACTAATATAGAGAATTTGTGAAATATTGAAAGTTACAAAGTAGAAAATAAAAGTTACCCAGAAATCCACTCCTATGAAACAATCAACGTTAACGTTTAAATATGTGTCCTACAGCATATCTAATTGTCTTCCCTGATAGCCAGTAAAACACAGTCTTAGACTGAACAGTATTGAGATTTGAGGCAACTATCCATATTTCCTGAGGTGTAGTACAGATGCCTTTCCAGAGCATTTTGGTTGGGAAAATGCCCAAATTGGGAGTGTTTAGACCTGGTGGTCTGGATGAGATGCAGTTAGAAAAATCAGGATGTAATTAGATCCAAAGGTATTGTCTAGAGTTCTACTTCTTAATAATGAAGTATATGGTAATGATCCATAGGAAGGAAAAAATATATATCAAATCTTTGTTCTGTCCTTTGGAGGCTGCTCATTTAAATCTCCTTCTTAGGGGCGCCTGGGTGGCTCAGTCAGTTAAGCGTCTGCTTTGGGCCCTGGTCATGATCCCAGGGTCCTGGGATCGAGCCCCTCAGAGGGAAGCCTGCTTCTCCCTCTGCTGCTCCCCCTGCTTATGTGCTCTCTCTCTCTATCAAATAAATAACATCTCTAAAAAAAATAAAAATAAATCTCCTTCATA